CGGGTGGCATGCCGCCACGGGTATCATTGTCGGATCGGGTTGCATGCTGCAACGATATCATGTGTGGATCGGGTTGCACGCCGCAACAGTGTGATGTTGAGTACAGTTTCCCATATCTATTCTTGTGTGTTTTGCTTCTCATTTATGAGGAAGGTTCATAACATCTTTTCGCTTATTAAATTATTTACGTGGGTTGAGAAGTTCTTTCCAGATCTCATTTCTCTTTATGTATTGCATTCAAGGTTGTGGCTTGTTAGCACTCTGTGGCATCATATGAGACTTTTTGCAGTGTCTGAGGTGGCCTATCACCTGAGCAGCTTGTACTGAGTGAGATGAGATTATTGGACCTGGGATCAGTGCGATCAGATTTGTATGAGGCACATTAAAGAGTAAATATCGATATTCAGTCCATATTGAGGTAGTGGTTCTTGTCGGGAGGAGAGAATCCATGAATTGTGATTCGGCAGGTGTTATGAGTTTCTACACATCTCTTCTGTCGTGACAGTATTGTGAGAGTTATAACAGGACTTATATGCTTCATGAGGTGTTTTGAGGGCATCAGATTCGTGGGATTTCGGTTGTTGTTGTCAGAGGATGTTATTATGGTCATGTGAATAATGCGGTGCATGGTGTGAATTCGGTAAGAGTATATAATCATGTATTGGTACATCGTGTAGTGATGGATACGGTGTTCGTATGTTAAAAGCGGGCCTGGTGGAAAATCCCGGATGTTGGAATTTGGCTCTAAGGCTAATTTGACTAAACAAAAGAGGAATCTTCAGATTTTCTCGAGCAAATGTGCTCAACTGAGATGTGGTAGCACGGGTAGGTGCACGAGGTGTTAAACAGTTATTTTAGACAACTCCAGCGCAGTTCTTAGCACGTTCGAGGATGAACGTATGTTTAAGTGGGAGAGAATGTAACGACCCGACCGGTCGTTTTGAGCTATAGCGCGTCATTCAGCGGTTTAAGGCCATGAGCAGCTTCGCTTCAGGTATTATGACTCGTACGCGTGGTCGGAATTGAATTTCGGGAAGTTCGGAGTTGATTTGGAAAGAAAATTCTCATTTCGGAAGCTTTAAGTTGGAAGAATTTGACTAAAGTTGGATTTTGAGTAAACGACCTCGAAATCGGGATTTGAAGGTTCCAGCATATTTGTATGATGATTTCGGACTTTGGTGTATGTTCGGATAGGGTTTTGGATGACCCGGGAAAGTTTCGGCGCCTATTGTGGAAGTTAGAATTTTTGGAAGAATTTAATAAATTTGGTTTGAAGTGCATTTCAATGTTATGGAGGTCCGTTTGGGATTTCGAGTCTGAGAATAGCTCCGTATGGTGATTCTGGTATTGGGAGCGCGTCTGGAAGTGGATTTGGAGGTTCGTAGGTCATTTTGGGGTCAATTGGCGAAAGTTAGAAATTTGAAGGTTTTGAGAAGTTTGACCGGGAGTGGACCTTTTGTAATCGGGGTCAGATTCCAATTCCAAAAGTTGGAGTAGGTCCGTAATGTTGAATGTGACTTGTGTGCAAAATTTGACGTCAATCGGACGTGATTTGATAGGTTTCGGCATCGTATATAGAAGCTTGATGTTCTAAAGTTCATTAAGCTTGAATTGGGTTGTGATTCGTGATTTCGATGTTGTTTGATGTAATTTGAAGGCTCAACTAAGTTCGTAATGTGGTTTTGGGACGTGTTGGTATAATTGGTTGAGGTCCCGAGGGCCTCGGGTGAATCCCGAATGGTTTATGGGTTGAATTTGGCCTTATGAAAATGCTGAGGCTGCTGTCATCTGGTGTAACCGCACCTGTGAGGTTTTGGCAGCATGTGCGGGGGACGCAGAAGCGGCCTAGGAGTCGCAGAAGCAGAGCAGGACAGTCAGGGGAAGGACCGCAGGTGCGTAGTTTTGGCCGCATCTGCGCAAGCGCAGAAGCAATGAAATGGGCGGAGAAGCGGAAGAGGGCCGCATGAGCGGAATTTTTGCCGCACCTGTGAAGCCGCTGAAGCGGCTGTTGGTCCACAGGTGCAAAAGACGGCTGGGCAGTGGAGTTTCTTTAAAACGGGGATTTGGCCCATTTTCTTCCGTTCTCTCTTGGTTGGACGAATTTTGGAGAGCTTCAAGTGAGGGTTTTCATCATCTAAGTCAAGGTAAGTTATTCCCACCTCATTATAAGTTAAATACATGGTTTGTATAAGGATTTAAACATGAAAAATTGTAGAAATTATGGGGTTTTAGTAGAAAACCTAGTAATTTGTATCTTTAGATTTTGACCACGAATTGGGCATGTGATTTGAAATAAATTATATATTTGAGTTCGTAGTGTTATGGGTAAAGTTTATCCTCAAAAATTTTCGGAATTCGGGCACGTGGGCCCGAAGATGATATTTATCGACTTTTCAAACGGAGTTGGAATTGTTGTAAATTGGATTTTAATGAGTATTAGAGTATATATTTATGGATTTACCCATTAATTGACTAAGTTTTGGAGCGTTGGGCATCGGTTTGAGTTGATAGAAGGGCTTGGGAGCCGGTTATGGAACTTCGGAGCGAGGTAAGTCTCCTTTCTAACCTTGTAAGAGGGAATTAACACCATTAGGTGAACTAAATTAATATATGCTTCTAATTGTGAGGGCTACGTACGCACGAGGTGACGCGAGTCTGTTCGTAGCTACGAGCTATGCCTATGTCGGGATAGTGTTTGGTTTACATCATGCCTTGTTGATATTGCTCTTTGATTTATGGTTATTCTTTGCCTTGAGAAGAAGCAAGATTTATGTCGCGTAATAACTGTCTTGAAAAGAATTGAAATTGAGGAATTTAAGATTTTAAAGGTTTTCATTTGAACCTCATATTTTCGAAAAGAATTGAGAAATATTATAATAACTTAAGAAATCTATGTGTAACCGTATCGCATTTATATTCCGCGAGCGGGATAAATTTTCACTACTCTCATGGGAGCGGGTCGTTTGCCTCGGCAGATTAATAGATGCATATATGGTTCGTGCCGTTCGACCCTCGACAGTGCACAATATATATTTATATGTTTTTTCGGGCCGTTCGACCCTCGGCAGTGCAACATTTATATTTATATATTGGATCGGGCCGTACGACCTCGGCATGATTTGCGTATGATTGAATTGATTGCTTGAAATTTATAATAAATGATATTTCCTCTTTGGCCTGAGATAAATTGTTAAATTATGAGAAATAAATTTGGAGATTTCTTAATTATAAAATAATTGCTTACTTACTTCAAAATATTGAGCTTACAACCGTTTTATATAACCCATGTTTAAATTATATCATTGACATTTTATTTATAGCCATAGTAAGTGTCGGAGTCAACCCCTCGTCACTACTTCTTCGAGGTTAGACTGGATACTTACTGGGTACGCATTGTCTTCGTACTCATACTACACTTGCTGCACATTTTGTTGAACAAACACATGTATGTCTAGTGGCCTTGTGGGCGTAGCGGCGTGGTTGATGCAGGGACTTAGGTGAGTTACACTCCATATTACGACCCGCAGCCAGCAGAGTCTCCTTCAGAGTATTTATATCTTCTTTCCTGTCCAAATTTGTATTCTCGACAGTTGTTGTATTTTATTTTATTTCCTAGTTAATTCTCTTACACTTGTGACACCGGATTTTGGGGTGAGTATGGGTTCTTCAGTATGGAATTTGTTAAAAACATTACTATTTACTCTGTAAATTTTATCATTTATTATTTAATTGAAGGAAATTATGATTTCAGAAATATTAAAATGAGAATTAAATTAGGTATTTATTTTTAGCTTGCCTGACAGTGGTGTCCGGCGCCATCACGATCTTTAATGGATTTTGGGTCGTAACATTTTTTTTCATACCTACCCCGAAGGATAATGTATAAAGGGAGTTTTTCCATTTAAAGTGACATTATTCGAAATGGGATTATTTTTTTATTTTTAGAGTCGCCACTCGGGAAAGGATGGGCTTTTGGTGTCCAGAGTCACCGGTTTAATTTAAATCCCAAATCGAGGAAAAATTTCGACTTCCCAATTGGAGTCTGCGAACCAGAAATTCTGTGTAAGGAATTCTGTTGACCCGAGGGAAGGTGTTAGGCACCCCCGGATCCCGTGGTTCTAGCACGGTCGCTTAAATTATTATAATTGGCTAACAATCTGATTTTCATACATACCATCCTATAGTACCATTTTATAAATTTTTGTTTAACCGCTTTTTAATTAGTTTTTATGAAAGTGAACGCCGTTTAAGAGCGTGTTCTTGGATCGCGTCACATGAAATGCACCTGGATCCTCGACACCTCCTATTCAACGTTTTGGGATTGGGATTTGGGTCGCATGAAATGCACACCCGTATTTAAGAAGGTAAAATTATTAAAAAGCGCGCCTAAAGTGGCTAGTGTCTTATTAACTTTGCGGGAAGCCATGAAAATTCGCTAAATGGCACATCCCGAATTTCTAAAATATTTTAATAAAACGTTTAATGAGGGCCCCGCAAGTTTTGCATTTCGTTTGGCGAGGCTCATCTCAATTTATTTATTTAAAGGCCAGTCCTAAAACATGCTACGAGAGCTGTTAAACAAACAAGAATGCAAGAACGAAATGTTTTGCTAAGATTAATACAGTAACGTTCCATCAAAGATTCCAAATCTGTTTTTTTTTAAAAAAATTCAATTCTCATGTCCCAATATTCCAACACAGAAGAAAACTTTAACTGACTTCCATTTATCTCTCACTTTCTTAAATCAATCCAAAGTCCACACTCATTCCATATATCAAGGAACCTTGCACCATGTCAAAGTTAACATAAGGGCATTAATTAAAAGACAAGTCTTTAAAATAATTCAAACAAACGGATGATTCAATACTCCAATTCTACCATTTAGGTGCATTAAGCTAATAAGGACACCAAGCATATTCATCAATTAAACGTCAAAAAATACGAAAGCAGGCAGAGACATTCTTGCTGTGAAATTGAAACAAGGATAAGAAAGCATGGACCTCAAAGAGCGATAACTTTCCGATTAATGGAGTTCCGAGTTTACATTTCTATTCAGTTGAGAAGCAAACGAGAATCTGACCAAGGAATTGAGCAGCGAACAAAGAGCCAACAGGGACACGAACGTGACAGAACCTCGAACAACCATTCAGATCACACCCATATCAGTTTCATGCTCAAAGTTTCTGCCGCTTCTCTTTTGAATTATAGGATTCAAAGATTCATGGCTGCCGTCTTTTTTGTAGTCTAGGTGTAGGGATTGAAAAACTTAGGGTAGGGTTTCTATAATTGGGTATTTTATATGGAAGTGGGAAGGGATGATGGCCATTAGATTAGAAGGAAAATAGATAGCTAGGATTACATCTTGCACTTAAATGGGCTAATGGGTTGGGAAGAATGGGCTAAGGGTAATTGGGTTGGACCATGTTTTTTTGTGTCTCAATTTTGGGCTAAGAAGACTCCAAAAATTNTTTTTTTTGTATTTTCAAATAACATATAAAAATAAAAATAAGGTGCAATTTTGTATTTTTTTTCAGTTTTATGAAAGATACGTAAACTAATTTTTTTTTTGTAATTTTCATTTTCTTTGTAGTAAAATAAAGCAAAAAGAGTCAAAATTAGTTGAAATAGCTGTATTAGGCCTAAATTAAATATTTACATGCTAAAATGGGTGAAATTTCGGGGAGGGTCAAAAATCACATGTCTGCACTTGGTCGTCAAAATTTATTAACTTAGGTCCAAATTTTTATTTATATATTTTTTCACTGGTGAGAATTTTTAACCTATCATAGTGAGTAATGTTTTTGTATTAGCAGCGTAGAAGCAGATTTCTTGCTGGAAAAAATGAGTTTGACTTCTCAATGTTGAATTTCTTTTCAATGGCGACTGAATTTTAGATTTTATTTTTGGTATTTGGCTGAATATAGTGATTCTTAATTTTTAGGTAGTTACACAGTTTTACCTTGTGTTTTGCTTTCTCCATGATATATCATATACGACACGTTAAAATCAGACTATAAATGGAAATATCTTAACGAATTGGTAGTCAAAGCTGACGTGAATTTTCAAAATAAAAAACATCTGTCGACGCCAAACTTGACTTTCTATGTACCATGTATCTCTCTATGCGCAATGGTCAATTTCCCAGTACTTTCTGCACATCTTAGTGGGATTAGTATTTCCTAGAAGCTGTCATTGCCAAGTAGCCTGTAGGCTGTAGGACATATAAAAATGATGAATCCTACTTTTTTCTCCCTTTATCTATTATTTTCCTTGTTATTAAGTGTAAATAGTGTTAGCTTTTTTTAATAGGGAAAATGCCATCCTTTTTGCTTGTTCGTCATCCATACCCTCGTATTATAAGTTTATTTAAGTTCTTGGAACAAAATTCATGTCTGATTGATACAAAATTCGACTAAATTAACCGTTACAAGTGAGAAAGGATTTAAAAGAAATTGGAATGAGGGAGTTATATGTTATCAAGATAAGGTTTCAAATATTTTAATTGAAACAGTGGATCGTATTAGTAGTCTTTCCATTAGTAATGACGCATATTGGCAAAGTTAATATTTATAATATCCTGCATGATTTGGTGTGAACACGGTCTCCAAGTAAGACTGTCTTAAGATATTATTCCCTCCGGTTCATAATAACTGACAATTTTACCTTTGACACCCATTGAAAAAATACTAACTCCTAAAGAAAAAAATATATATTACTAAATTAACCTTAATTAATTGTTACCTTGACACATTGGAATATGTTGGGTGTGCGAACAAAGTCCCATATTGGTAGCTGAAAAGATTGGGAGTCTACATATAAGGTGTAGGGATCTCTTAATGGTGTGAGGCCTTTTGGGGAAAAACCGTATGGGCTTGGCCCAAAGCGGACAATATCACACCATATTAAGAGTGTATTTGGGCTAGTTTAGCCCAACAGAATATGTAAATAAGGGCAGATTTTGGAAAAATAAAATTAATTTCTTCTTAATTATGTAAATGGACACTTATTTTGGACCAAAATAAAAAGGTAAAATGATTACTTATTATGGACAGGAGGAAATATCTATTATTGAAGACAAGTGGCACATGTTCCCGTGTTATTATAAATTAAAGTAAAAATATATGTTAATTAATTACGATTTAGTAATAAAAATATATATGAAGACATGCATGATGCACCATATATTTATTTGATTAGTACAAATATAAGTTTTCGTTAGTGAAAGAATGGGAAAAGCAGAGGGTCAGGTAATTACACCCTCACGACTTCAAATGCTTATCCATCTTCTCACTCAAACAAAGAGTTGCTACTCACCAGCTTGTACAGCGGTTGAATTTGTTTTCTCCTCTTTGGATTACTTACCTTTCTGATTAGTTCTCTTTTCTTCTTAATTTTTGTGCATTTTTCAAGTTACAACAACATGAATCGTTCTAAGTGTATTATGTATTCTTGAAATGATAAGGGATGGTAAAAAGATGGATTGAAAATATACTATTATTCTATCTGGATTTCCTATTAAAAATTAACAGTCGTTTTTTCTAGGGATAAAACCGACAGAATACCGCCGATAATCAGAAGGACGTCCCTTAAAATAATCAACCGACAGTATCAGAAATTTCCAAATAAAAACTATGCGGCATTTTCTGAAAATATAATCTGTCTGGAAAAGAAGATAAATAACCGACGGGGCACCGACAATATTGTTTAATAGAAAAACAGACATTTCAATTAAATAACCAAGGGTAGCCCAGTTGTAATAAATAAATTGCATCAAAAAAATAATCGAGACCAAAAAATATTGCAACAATCTTAGTATTTTATTTCAATGATTGAGTTTACAATCTTTGTGATTCCTCTGATTCTTCTTTTCTGATATAAATTCAAGGGCTATTGAGCTTGATCTTGAATTTATGTTTGTTTTCACGAACGATGATCTTGAATTCAGCTAGCACGAACTTTGATTTGAACACGTGCTCCTTTACCTTAATTTGTTCTTTGTTCTTGAGCTTGAACTTGATTACTTGAAGCTTGAAGCTTGAAGCTTGCAGAGAAGTTTGCGGCGTTTGATCCACGAGCTCTCTCTTGCTTCTGTTAGGACTTCTGGTGTCTTTTTCTTGAGTTGTGAAGACCTCAATTTATAGTTGTGAAGAGAAGAGTTATCATGAGAACAAAACCCTTTCCGACCAATCAGATTGAAGCTAATAAGGCATCATTTGACTGGCCAAAAAATATATCACTTGTGTTGGCCCAAGTGAAGGTTAGTTTGAAATTGACAAAGGAAGCTCAGGCATGAACCAGGTCCATCCCTCAGGTGCACAAAAACGGGCAGATTCGAGCATGTGATACACGTGAAGGAGATAAGCTTAACTTTGTGTATTTAATATCTCCTTGGTCGAAAAGGTTGCATAATTGATAAGGAGAAGGACTCCTTACTCAAAGAGAACATTATCCAAGATAAGAACGGGGTTAGAAGTTGAGATCAACTAGGACTCTTCCACCAAGGAAGAAGTTGCATCAGAACTCTAGTTATTCTTCATCTACTAACTCTATAAATTGCAGGATGTTCTCACATTACATGTTGCACAAAAATGCAGAAGTTAAACGTGAATTGAGAGAAAAAAATAGCAAGGCTTTTGCAAGCATTCGTGTGTGATTCAAGTGTGCAAACCTGAAGCTACATGAACCAGATTGAAGAACCAGCTCCATAAAGAGTTTTATGTGTCTTTTTATTCTAGTTCAATTGTAGTAGGTATTTAATGTTGTACCTTTTAGCTTTATCTAGAAGCAATTGTATTAGGTACTTAGAGTTTTCAAGTTAGAGTTAACTTGAATTGTCGCAACATTTGAGGCTATGTGCTACAACGGAAAGTTAATCCTAGGTTTACAAAAAATTTTTAAATGCAGTTTTTGCTCAGTGATTTTAGTGAGAGTTTGGGAAAATCCCACTGGAAGGGTAGTCGTGGTTTTTTCACCTTTTGAGCCAGTGTTTCTCACGTAATATCTCTGTTATCTTTTAATTTCTATATTTATTATTCCGCAACAGTATAGTTGGAACACATAAAGAAACCAATCTTCTATAAATAGGGTAAACGAAAAATTGTGGCACACACACAAATCATCCTCCCCCCCCCTCTTGTGTGGTATTGAAGTTAGAACATCAATCGGTACAGAGCATGTTATCCTTGAAGAGCTAACAACTCTAGGATCAGATCAAGATAGTGCAACCACCTGGAAATTGAAGGACAATCCACTGCTAGGCCTCCACTCTTTAATGGCCAGTACTATTTCCTGGTGAAGAACAGGATGAGAGACACCATCATCCTAAGGAGACTATGAACTTTGGGACATTGTACTAATGTCCCCTGGCACTACAAAGAAGAATGCTGAAGGAGTGATGTGTCGAAGACTAGAGCTGACTGTACTGCTGAAGATTTGAAGATGTGGGAAAAGAATGCCAAGGCCACAGAAAATGGCTTGTGGTGGACTAGGTCCCAGACGAGTACAGGTATTAAAGTTGACTACTGCTAAGGAGATCTAGGACACTCTACAAGTGGCCCATGAAGAAATCCTCAATCCAAAGTAAGAATCAAGAGGACAACACTGCCTGTACTCTCAATATGAGAATTCACCATGAAGGAAGGAGAAACCATCCAAGAGATGTACACAAGGTTCACCACCCACTACAATGAACTAAGTCTGCTTGAAGAATTATCTTAAGAAGACAAGGTTGAGAAAATCTTGACAAGGTCTTGCCAGTAACTTGGAAAACAAAACACTGTTATTCAGGAATCAAAGAACATTGCTACTCTCAAGTGGATGATGCTGATTGGAAATCTCACTGCCTATGAACTGAGAAGGCAAACCATGAAGATGGATGCCCCAAGAAGGAAAGAAGCCTGACTTCAGAATATCTGAAGGTGCAGACTTAGAGGATGATGAAATGGCTATGATCACAAGGGTTTCAAGATAGTACCTAATTGAGAGGAAAGGGTCTTCAAGAGGTGCAACCTTCAAACAAACCAAAGGCCCCTGAAAAATAGAACAACGAGGGCTGTCTACCAAGTGTGGTAAGACTGACCACATGATCAAGAATTGTCCTCATGGGAAATTGAATGGAAGAAAGAAAGGGCTGAACGAAGAAACAGGAAGAAGGAACAGGTTCAACCCAAGAAGAACAAAGGATCGACAAAGGCTATGGTTGCTGCTTGGAGAGAAAGCTCAGATGAGGATTCAAAAGATGAAGCTGGAATGAACAATCACTTATGGACATTGAGATCAGATGATGAACAAGAGGTAAGTGATTCATCTGAAAGACAAGATTAAATTTTGTCTAAAGGAAAAGCATA